TTTGTTAACAATGACAAGTGCCACATAGGAGAGTTTCACGGTAATTTGAATGCCTATAATAGGACTAGTCTTAACTGAGATTTGAAGAATGATGTGATAGATTAAAGATGGACACATATTCTTTGTTACTCCTCCCATGAAGAGGTGAAGTCTAATCTCTCCTTAAACCTGGGCTGGCCTTAGAGACTTCTCTAATAGAATACAGCAGAAAGGATGTTTCATAAAAAGCCTTGCAGCTTCTGTTTTTCTTGGAAGACTCCATCATGGAAGATGTCCCACTACCCTAAGACCACCATGCCAAAGAGTCCATGCATTGATGTTTGGGTCAACAGTCCCAGCCGAATCCTGCCTTCCAGCCATCTCTGCCAAGCCACAAGACATATGAATAAAATCTTGGATTCTCTAGGGGTGCCTGGGTGGCTCAGTCAGTTAAGTGTCCAACTCTTGATTTTGACTCAGGTCATGATCTCACAGTTCATGAGATTGGGTCCCACATTGGGCTCTTTGCTGACAGTGTGGAACCTGCTTGGGATTCTCTCTCTCACTCTCTCTGCCCTTCCCCTGCTCATGCTTTCTCTCTACCTCTCAAGATAAATAAATAAACTTAAAAAACTCTTGGAAGCTCTAGATCAGAGGTTAGCAAACATAGCCTGCAGACCTAATCTGGCCACCATCTATTTTTATAAATAAAGTTTTATTGGAATGCAGCTATACCCATTTGTTTAATTATTGTCTATGGTTGTTTTTTCATTACAGTGGTAGAGATGAGTAGTGGACTGTCAGGCCTGCAAAGCTGAAAATATTTTCTATCGGCCTTTTGTAGAAAAAAATGGTGACCCTTGCTCTAGATTAGCACCATCCACTAGAAATTTAATGCAACCACATACGTAATTTGAAAATTTCCAATAGCCATATTAAAAAATTAAAGAGAAAAAAATAAAAAAAATAAAAAATTAAAGAGAAATAGGTAAAAATTAATTTTAATGATATGTTTTCTTTAATTCAGTATATCTAAAATATTATAATCTCAACATATAATCAATATAAAATTATTAATGGATATTTTACATTGTTTTTTCTGTACAAAATCTTGTAGGTGTTTTACACTTACAGAACTTAGATGAACTACATTTCAAGTGATCAGTAGCCACATGTGGCTAGTGCCTACTGAATTGGACAGGGAAGTTCTATACTAGCCCATTCACTAACTTAGTACCAACCACCAAGTGACTTCAGTTGATGCCATGAGGAACAGAAAAATCACTCAAAACCCTGCCCAAATTTCTGGCCCACAACATTGTAAGACAGAGTAAAATATTCATTGTTTTAAGCTGCCGAGTTTAGGGGCAGTTTTTTAGGTAAACATAACAGATTGAAAAGTGCCAGATAGGTGAAGGGGGTAGCTTGGAAGGATTCTAGGCAAAAGGAACAGCAGGTGCAAAGGCACCACGGCAAGAAGGACATGAGGGAAGGTTGATGTGGCTTAAATGACTAGAGGGGTGGAAGACAAGCCTGGAGAGGTCAGTGGAGGCCAGACCATGCTTATCTTAAGGGTCAGCAAAGGATTTTGGTGTTTATTCTGAGTGCAATGTGAATCACTGAAGAAATTAAAGTGGAAGAGTGACATAGTCAGGTTTGTAGTTTGAAAAGATGACTTTGGCTACTGTGTAGCAAGTGGATAGTAGGGAAGTCAGAACAGATGCCAGAAGACCAATCCATTGACTATTGCAGTCATTTAAATGAAGAAGATGGTTGTTTGGTCTAGGGTGGTAGTAGCAGAAGTAGCAGTGGATAGGTTCAAGTGATATTTAGGATTATAATTGACAGGATGTGGTGATGGATTAAGTATGGGAGATGAGAATAAGGTATTAATTGATTGGTTTATTTATTCATTCATTCAACTGAGTGTCAGGAATCACTCTTATTTAGTAGACTAATACAGTGGATGCTACAGAGTTTTTTTACTTTTTCACTTGCACAAATAATGGGAAGTTCATTTCTTTAAGTAGAGTAGGATAGCTTAATGCAGTCTGGTATGTCAGATGAGTTTATATTTGATGTGATAGAAAATTGAGAGTTTGGGATTGATGGTCTGGAAGCAGAAAAATTATGTAATGGAAGTTTAAAGGAAATGAGCCTGTCAGTGGTCTGAGGAAGGGGTGAGGGCTGGTATCAAGAAAGCCAATATTAAACTCTCAAAGACCTCAGATGAAGAGGCTGAACCAGCATACGGACAAGAAAGAGAAGAGCATGAGTGACACCTTGATGAAAACGTGAACACTTCCTGGTGTCTGGTGGGCATAGATGATTGGCTATAGATGTGTGTCACCCATCTTGAGCTTTGCTAAGTTCCCATGCCAAACATGTCTCTTTCTAGCTCACGCTGGATCATATGTCTGACTTGGTCTCCAATCTCTTCTTGGAGCAAATCCTCCTGGACTCCCATTTGTGAAGATTTTTCATACCTAACACTGCCTTAATTTGATTAGGTGTCCTTTCCCATACTCATTTGGGAGCACAATGTTTCCACACAGATATGAGGGGAACAGCATCAAAGATGAATAGGTACAAAGAAAAAATATCTATGTAGATTCATATGGGGGAGAAGGCTGCTTTTATTCATTCCCTGATATTGTAGGTAATTAAAGTATTAAAATTAAGAGTCCATTCCCCTCACTCCCGGAAGAAGGAACGTACATAGCATGGTTAGCTTTCCAGTCTCCTTATAGCAAGTTTATGTACAAGACAGATGCCCCCAAATCAGATATTTTTGAGTCAAGGAGCATCTCTTTTCCAAATTATTAATGGTTTTGGAAACCATTTTTTCCTTTTTTGCCAAAAGGTGCCTGTGGGTAAGCATCATGCAAAGTTTTACAGGTGAGTCTGTGCACATCTGGTCAAGGGCTCTGCCTACCACAAATAAGAACCCAGAACTCACTAAAAGGCATTTATGCCAATCATGGCCCCTTAAGAGGGCCCCTTCCTGTTGTCTCAGAACCAGAACCATGGTCAAAGAGAGAAAGCCAATGTATCAAGGGCACAATTTGAGGGACGTCCCCTCTCCCCATTCTGTGTACCAGCCCTACCCTGGTGCTTGGAATTCCCAAATTACTCATTCCTTGGGTTTAGGCATTTTTGAAAGCCCCTATTAAAATGCAAATGCTAGCTAGAAGGGAGAAATATTTTGTTTTTAGCCATTAAGAGTTAAGTTCAAGTTAATGCAGCTAAATAGGAAATGGAACTCAGAAAGAAATCATACTCCTAAAAAGAGGGAGAATAGTGCATGGGAACTTTCCTACCCTGATGGGGAGATGGAAAGTGCCGAAGACATATTTTTCTTCTACATATATTCAAAATGGTGTGTATTTCCCAACCTCAGCCTGAGTATACTCTGATGTATGGTTTAGAAAGTAGTCTCTATATTAGGTTAGAGATGAGGATAAAGGTTCAATAAAGGATTGTGCACCTAGCCTATGGCCCTATCCTTCTGTACTGCCCCCCTAAACCACTCTTATTTGCCTGACCATGAAAGGTAAATTGTCAACCCTTGCCTCGACACTGGATAACCACTCAGGAACCTTCCTACTCCTTGCTTGTTTCAGACATGTTAGGTTCTTACTCTATTTCTTCACAGCTTCAGTCTCCTGGGAGAGGGACCCCCCCAAACTTATTTCTCACCTTTTTGAAACATGGTATTTGTTTCATGAACCTTGATTTTCTCCTGAAGAATCTGGCTTAGCTCACTTTTTTACCTTTTATGCTCTTTCTTCTCCCACCTTAGCTTCAACTCCATAAAATCCAATTCTCATTACCACCAGGAAGAGATATCTGATATCCAGGGCCATTAGAGCAACCAAAGTATCAAGCTCAAAGACAGTCATTAAACAGTGGGTACAATCACAAAAAGCCATTTCCTTCTCTTCAGAGCAGTGTTGCTATACAGTCATTTTAGTGTGACTATTAATACTATTTTCCCACTAAGCTAAAAGCTTCAAGAGTACAAGGACCATGACTTTTATGCTCTCTGTTAAAACCCAGGACACAGTTAATCACTCAGATACATTTAGAACATGCTAATGAACAGAGATTTATAAAAAGCTTCCATTATACACAGGATAGCTCATGTAAATAGTATCAATGGTACCTGCAACAGCAAACAGATGAAATAATATAGAACTGTGAGCTTGTGCACATAATTAGACTCATTTAAGTCCACAGCCTTAGTCCCAAGATTGAGGTTGCATGCCAGAGGAATAGATCATCTCCCTAGTTATTACAATTTGAGAGGAGTGGGAAGTTCCCTTGGCCAAAAATTATTTTCACCTGTCTCTCCTTAAATAACTATTAGTGGAGGCACTATTTTAAGCCTATTTGCAAATGCAAATATGTTCATGGTATACAGAACACGAGAAACCACTGCATGGGCTCTTTTTGGACCTAAGACTTTCTTTTCAAATGAGCTATTGGTCTCTGGTGCCAAGAGGAGCCAATATTGTGGGGGGCATTTAGATGGGAAGAAGAAATGGAGACAAAGAGACGGGAAGAGAAAAGCCAAATAAGAAAGCAGAGACCACTGCAGAAGCTGTGGGTTTTGCCCCAGTTCTCTGAACTTCTCACTGGCACAAGGGGCTCAGGCAGGGCCAGCATCCTTGGATACCTTCTCCTGCAGTGGAGATCCTTGGAGCCCCCAGCACCCTGAGGCCAAGGGCAGCTGTTGGTTGTTTGGTAAGTGGTGCCTTCTGTTTCCTGCCTGTCCTGTCTCTTAGCTCACGAAAGCAGACACAGGATCTGGATGGAAGAGACACATTTCTATAATGTCCTACCTCCAATGTAGCCAGTCTCAGAATCAAGCCTGATGGTCAAAAGTTTTATGCATGTATTCCACAACCCTTCTTACCCACTCCCTTGCCAGCCATCAGCCCAACCTCTGAACATCTGCCCCAGATGTAGCTTTATCAGACACCAAGCTCCCAAAGCATACAAGCTTCATAAGAACATACCTGTCACAAATGCCCATCCACTGCAGCTCCCAGAGACCAGATGTATAAGCTCAGTGACATTCCCGAGGAACACAGAAACAAGGTGTTAAGAATAAACGATGAGGAGCCTTTGTGAGCTCCCCATAACTTCCTAACGCTCTTTGTAGAGAAAGAAATAATGTCAGGGCTGAGACTAGAACTCAAATGCAGAAAGGGGAACTGACAAGAAAGAAATAGCACCACAGACAGGGGCTGGTTCCAGATAACTTCTGATGGCAGGTGGGCATTTCCACCGATGAAAATGACTACAAATGCACTGGCGGAGAGTGAGTGAATGTAAAGCCCTGAGGAAACTCCCCAAAGACAGTCCAGCCACAAACATGACAAAGACTAACAGAGATCCAGGAGTGTAGCATTTGAGTCCCATAGGTGAAGGTTCAGCTCAGTTTAACAAGTGTTTTATGCAGCAGCCATGTACCAGGTACTGTTTCCGGCTTGGCAGGGCTGCAGGAGGCAGTCTGCAACCACAGAGCCCAGAGACTGGGTATTTTTCTTCTCACCCCACCCCCCTACAAACCATTCATTTGAGTATATCTCCATGGATCCTGCTAGAAGCTAATTAACATACACAGCTTGTTTTTAAATTATCCTCATCTAATCCTAATTATCCTAATGTAGAAAATTTGGCCCCTATTCCTGGAAGTGGGTGGTACTCGAGTCTGGGGACAGGTCACCAGCAGAAGAGTGATAGGTGTGTGAATGCCAAGTGGATTTTTCCAAACCTAGTGCTTCGAGAGGGGCAGGCTTCACACATATAATCCTGATCCAAATGTATGGCTTCTTTTCCTGATCCAATCAGGCCCTGAAAAGCCCTCTGCTCAGTGGGGAGGGGGGCGGGCAGGCGTTTATGTGCCTCTGAGCCTGCAGCATTTGCATTCGGGAGAGAAACAGCTCCCTGTGAACCTGCCTCCTCTGATCTCTTGGTGGCTAGCTGGGCCCTGCAGGACTAGAGAAATTAAAAGTAGCAAAGGGAGAGCTGTTTGTTGTCTGGGTTGAGAAGAGCGCCCAAGCAAGGACATGTGGTGCAGGGGAAGTAGCATAGCACAGGTTTGGAACTGGTAGTCCAAGGTCAAACCCTGGCTTGACCACCGAGCCCTGGACAAGTTATTGAACATCTCCCCATTTTAGTCTTCTCATCCAGGAAATGTGACCAGCATCCTTGATGCACTGTTCTGAAAAACAAATGGGATCTTGCATGTACATCACCTGGCACAGAGCATGGTATGCAGCTATTTAGTCTTCGTTATTACTTTTCTGTCTTCCTGACAGACTTTACAGTTCTGACTTTGACCTTTGCGCAAAGTTGATCCTTAATCACTGGAAAGGTGATGACCATTCTTCCCAAAACAGGTCTGTAAACTCCTCACCTTCCATCCAGGGTCTCTCAAACCCAGAGGGCTCTTATGTGGGTCCTGGGCCCTGACTCATAGGGTCTTCACTTCCTCTCAGCGATTCTCTGTGCATACCTTGGAAACTTCATCCTTTACTCGGATAGGCACCACCTGGGGTTTTCCTCTGGATTTTACAATCATATATTTTTTTTTATTTGAAAGGGTCCATTTAGTTTCCTTATTGTAACACATGAAATTACCCATGTATCAGAGCACAGGAGAATTAATTTACATACCACTCCGTTTTCAAGTTTCCTTCTCTTCCTTATACTTACTCAGCAGTCAAAATATCAGATAGGCTAAATTGGGAAGTCTTGCTATCAAAATATTTAGAATAGTATCTCCCAAACTTCAGTCATTCTAGCTACTAGTACCACTTCATATCCATGTAAAAATCTGTATTATTTTTTATGCATTCATTTTAATCTTGACTTATTTTAAAAGGAATCTTTATATAAATACTAAAAATTTTAAAGAGCAGTATTATTTACCAAAAATAAAGGGTGAGTTCAAACTCTGTGTTTGTTCAAACCTGTTGTTCAAACTCTGGCCCACTAGTTAATACCTGTGTGTTCTTGAGGAAGTCACTTAATTTCTGAGCCTTAGTTTCCTCACAGAGGTAATATTAAATGTCTCATAAGCTTGTTGTGAGGATTAAATAGGAAGACATGTATATGGTGCCTCACACAGATCCTGGCATACGGTAGGTTATTTAAAAAAAAAGTTTTATTGTTTTCTCTTTTCCATATCCCTTCTCTCATCTCCTTATTTCAGGTCCTGATTAGAGTAGTATCCAATGCACAGTAACAGAAGTAATGGAAGATAAGTAGTGAGGCAGGCAGCAGAAATAAAGGACAATTCGGTGTCACGGAATTCTTTAATTCTATGAACTAATTAGCATTGCAAGGTTGTTTCAGGGACCTCAAAAGTCATTTTAGTCTCTCACTGAAGCAAGGACTCCCCTCAGTGTTATCTGTAATAGATGGATGTCCAGTCTTTGCTTTCTTACTTATGTTGGAAAACTCACTACCTGATATGACAGCTATGAGAGAAAGGTCTTCTTTATAATAATCCCAAATCTCCCACCACTCACTCCCCAGTCCCATAAGTGTCCCTGTCCTGTTTTCTAAAACTGCCAGGATATGTATTTTTACCCCTTCACATGGAACCCTCCAAACAATTGAAAACAGATATATCATAAGTTTCCTCAGTAGTCTTTTCTCTCAGCTACATATTATCAGTGTCCTCAACTGTTCCTCATATAATGTGGTCTCTAGAACCCTAACCAGCTTGGTGGTTCTCCCACTGGCACCTGTCTCCCTGAATGTGTCAACATACCTCTTTGCAGAAAGGGCTTACAGAATGAAATGGATAGTGACAAGATCACTTTCACTAATGAGTCAGAGATCAAATTAGCCTGTACACAGTTGTAGTGGAGTGGCTGACCATGTTTTTTTTTTTCAAATGTCATGTCATATCACCACCTCTTGGCCCCATCTTATTTGTACGTCAGTGTTCAGCCAATCAAAATTACTCTGAATCCTCTTTATGTCTTTCATTGTACTAGTCATCCTTCCAATCCTGTGCCACTCAAAAATCTGATAAGGAGGCCTACCCAAGAGTCATCAGAGCCAAGCATGCACGGGGTTCAGCAGTGATGGTGGTCAACAGTATTAAATGCTGAGATGAGGTTAAACAAAATGAAGAAAATCAGTTCCTTGTGTTTAGTGAAGAGGAAGTTACCAGTAACCTCAGAAAGTTGCTTTCTGTGTGGGGCTGCTTCCTCCATGCCTCACTCCCAGATGTTCTCATGTCTGAGGAGGCCAAGGCTACAAGAAAAAGCAGCAGGAGGGGAGTGGCTATAGATGGTAGCTGGGTTGGGGGAAGAGATATTCCCCTGGGACCACATGGTTAGGATTTACTCTGAGGGTGGAAGGGCAAAGCTAGAAACTTGTGGGCATTTGGAAAGATCCAAACACTTAGCTGAATTTTCCAATTCCAGCTATATATTTGTTTGCTATACATAAACGGCTTCCCATGGCCACCAGTCAAGAAGCACTCTAAAAATATTCTAGGTGGTGGTGGTTCTAATATAGGACAAAATAATTTCCACAAATAATTATAGAGGCATTACTTATCGAAATGTTAATTAGCATTTGTTTTCTGAGATTTCTTGACACATAGATTTTTGCAGGGGAGAAAGCAGAAGTGACTTAAAGTCAAAGGCACTTTTGGACTTTTGTGAAAGCTCATGGAAGAGATAATATAGATGTCCTAAAAGGGAAGAGAAAAGAGAGTGCTTTTGAGATGCAAGAGGAAGGAAGGGCAGAGTTGTTTGGGTCCTGTGAGCAGAGGGATCAAACAAAGCACTCCCTCTCAGTGCTCCCAAGGGGATAACAGCTTTGGGAGTGATGGCTCATGCCTACAGAGGCAGTGCACTTGGTTCATGGGCCTCAGGAGATAACCTCATTTCCCACTGTGGCATAGGGGTGGAGAGCTGCCAGACTTCACGGACCACCGTGGTTTAGACAGTGAGGTTGCCAATAGCAACCAAAACGGTCTTGGGATTTGAGGCCCTTCCTCCTTCTAGGCACTAGGTAAGCTTCCTGAATTATGACTGGGCTGTAAGAAGGAAAGGGCATCCCTGTATGATCAAGATGGAATCCCCTATCCAACTGGTAGAATAGGTTTCACAGGTGAGATTAGGTTGAATTAAAGGAAACATGGGAAGTGGCCATCTCTTACATACTTGGATTCATGGACAGAAATTCATACCCTATTCATAGTTCCTAAGTTATTTTTAATTTAGAAGTGACGCAGCACAGGGTGGTCCTGTTCTTATTCCCAGCCCTGCTGCACAACCTCTCAGAGTGCAGGAAGCCACAACCACTGTCCCCAGAACCTGACTTTTCCCTTTTAATGAAACTCTTCTGGGTCCACAAACAGGGTTCTCTGATACTGCTTGAGGGAGAACATAAAACATTTGCTATGAATTTTTTATTTTACTGCTGTTATAAAATTGTATTTCAATGTACCCTTCATCCTTAAAACATAAACACACTAACTGCTGAGAGGATGAAAAGAGAAGCCACAGACTGTAAGAAAATATTTGCAAAACACATGACTGATAAAGGACTGATATCCAAAACGTACAAAGAACCCTTAAAACTCAAGAAAACAAACAATTCAGTCTAAAAATGGGCAAAAGATCTGATCATACACCATACCAAAGAAGATACACAGATGGTACAGATATACATATTAAAAGATGCTCAGTATCATATGTCATTAGGGAATTGCTAATCAAAACCATAATGAGCTACTACTAAATACCTATTAGAATGGCTAAAAAAAACCCGAAAAAACAAAAAAACAAAACTGACAATACCAAATGCTGACAGGGATGTGGAACAATGGCAACTCTCATTCATTGCTGGTGGGAATGGAAAATGATGTAGGGACTCTGGAACTCATTTTGGCAGGTTGTTATAGCACTTAACATAAGCCTACCAGGTGAACCATCAATAATGCTCCTAGGTATTTACCCAAATGAGTTTAAAACTTATGTCCACACAAAAACCTGTGCATGCATATTTATACCACCTTTATTCATAATTGCTCCAAAGTAGAAGCAACTGAGATGGCCTTCAATAAGTGAATAGATAGACAAACTGTGGTATGTCCATACAATGGAATATTATTCAGTAATAAATAAAAATGAGCTATCAACCCATGAAAAGACATGGACAAACTTTAAATGCATGTTGCTTAATGAAAGAAGCCAACCTCAAAAGGCTACATACTGTATGTTTCCAACTAGAAAACA